TATTATCCAAATATATTAAAATTAATCTTCATCGCAGTTTTCAAATGTTTTGCGGAGAAAAAAAATGGATATGTCGCGATGCAACAACTGTCGGGGGTCTTTCCAAGGAAAACAACATCTACAGACTCTCATATCTATTTTTCTTTTCTTTTGACAAGCTAGCCAACATTATACAGTTATATTTGAGCAAGTTTAACAACACAGTTGAGAGTTACAAAAGATTTTTGCATGTTGCAAATGTTTTTAGCTTTTGTTGGTTTGGATTGGGCTGCAGAGGGGGCCCGATGGACTCATTGCTTACGAGCCAAGGGAAGGATAAATGATTGATGTCAATACATTGAGAAAATACTTTGCTCAGGGGATAAGTGCAGCAAGACCAGAATTTAAGACTGTTTGTGTAAAATATATCATATGGCTTCAGAGAAAATTAAAGTGTGCGTTCATAAAATAATAACAGCAAAACTGCAAAGCAGATTACATGCTATCAATAAGATTAGAAACCCTCTTTAGACCATTGTTTAAGAATTAAAAGTAATTAAGTCTTTGTCAGAAGACATTTCTGCAAATTGTAAAGAAGTAATTCTGTCCTCTCACCAGCTTATTGATTTGTTCTTGTCGAATCACAGGGGTGTAACTTATTCCTGAAATGATAGCTAATAAAGGCAGTTTTGCAATTTAGGGGTTTTGGCAAAGAGGATTCAGGAACTGGCAAACTGCTGTCAGTGGAGAAGTCAGGATGGATGAGGGGAGGGACCTCTTCATAATGCTCATGCTTAAAAACCTGTGGAGCCGTTCCAGATGGATGTTCTCAGGGCATGGTAATGATGTAGGGGCTGATTCCTCCATCTCTAGAGGCCTGCATGTCCACACTGGCCTACAGGAAAAAAAACACACTCACATTTTCTTTGCTTTTCCAACAGCTTTACTAAATCAAAAGGATTTTGAGTTCTGGAAATGACCGATGCAATCGCTTAAATGAAGAGTTCGTTTTAATATTATGGCTTCAAAATGAGTAAATGAAAGACAAACTGCCAACCAACAGATCGGAAGAATTTGGTTTACACGGACAGATCAGACAATTAGATTAAGTATTTATGGAAAGATCCTCCAGGGGAACCAAACATGGAAAGCAAGAAAGGCTGTGCTTGGCTCTGTGGTGGTGCTGGCTCCCAGCTGAAGCCAGACACCAGCCAGCTTTTGCATTGTAATCATGAGAGCTACAGCACGAAGACTCTAAATAAATGTGACAAAATTTGTTCCTCCAACCCATCTCTCAGTTGGGACTGGAAGTCATTGGGTTGTTTGTTCAAACAATGATCTTAATGATCTTTTAGTCAGATTGCACAGCATTGGGCAAAAATCAGCAATGTTGGTTTGCTAGCTGGTCAATCCACTATTGGTCAGGTTGGTCTTCACTAATGTGTCTGAACAATTTTGTAGAGACAGCCAACATTAGCCAATGTTTCAAAGGTTTTATTCCACACATCTGCATCACCTACTGAACGTGTAGGTATCAGTCAGGTCGGACAGGTTGTTTTTTCCTGTACACTGGGGAAATTAAAGTACCCTAAACAAGGTATCATAGCTTGCATTTCCATGACTTCTGTAAGGTCCCTTAGATCTAAGTGGCTAAAATTTTGTTAACAATTTTCTTTTTTTTCTGACTGCAGAGATTTGTCTGTGGAGAGGTATCTATTATTTATACATAACAGAATTCCAGCTGAGGTAGTCAAACCTTCAGTGGATGGTTCATATTGTCCTGCAATTTCATTGTATGTGTACAACCCAAAACCATCCATCAATCCATCTTTTTCCAGTTTCCCAATTCTGGGTCAATTACCCAATGCCAATTGACGCAGAATCAGAAGAAAATGATCACAAATTAAGAAAAGCATATGCAGTCATAATTGGAGGTACATACAGTGGTAAATTGATGGTAAGTTGTAAGTGCAATTTAAATACCTTTAGGTTATTTCACATTCAGTTAGTTTACTGCAAATTACAATTTGTGTCTTTTTAAGTATTCAAAGGTTTAGTCCTAATTAGTGATGGTGTCATCATTTCTCCACTGAGAGGACGTAGGATGTTTTTTTCACACTTAACTTACTATTAGTTTAAATTCAGAAACAAATAAGTGCATTAACTTTGTGATAATGTTTCTGTGGAAGCTCAGTTTGGCCTCTGGCCTCGTTTCCATCCACTAATGGAGCAGAAAGATTACTTCTAATCCTGTTTTAGCTCTGTGCACTGATGTGCATGGGCTTTATCTCTTCACTAACATGGACAAGACTGTTTCCCATAATAGATCAAACACTCCCTACCGGCCCTGTCAAAACTTAATGGACACACATGCTTGTGTGCAAACACACTTGCAAAGCATGGTCTGTAAAATCTTTTATTTTTATATACAAAGGAACTCCTTAATAGCAATTAAATCCTTCAACCAGATCCACCAAAGCAGGGAGTGTGTTTTGGCAAAGGCGCCAGAAAGAAATGCAACTCACTTTCATTCTGTTTCTTGTGCCGAGTGAGCTCAGATCCACTCATGCATGTGTGAAACTCCCTATCACTTCTGCTGTCATCACTCCTCGCAATGCACGGGGTGTCTCTGCCCATACTCCACTGTCAGCAGTTTTTGTTGGGATGTATCCTGCTTGTATTCGGATGATCTAAAATGACCTGCTGTGCTTCCTTTTCTCTCATCGCAATGGTGAAAAACAATAGAGAGTAGATAGATGAGTGAGTTTAAGTCACTTCTCAAAGAAAGACGTTTTTGAGCCAAGTCTTCAAGAGTGACGCCAACAGTCACAAATGAGCCTTAAAGTTTCACAAAATGCTTAAAATGAGCGTGTACTCTAATTAACTCAGCAGTATGTAGTTTTGTGTGCGATTAAGTTTAACCTCATCACATGCAGAGAATACCATTAAATGCCATTAAGTTAAAGGATTTGCACATTTTTACCCTCTGCAGGTTTAAACAAGGAATACGTGGGACTTTTTTGGTAGCTATTTTAAGAAGACCTTTTATGCATTTCCTTATTTTCTGCCTCATATATATACTAGTACAGCTCTCAAATAACAGGGCCAGCATATAAAATTAATTCCTGCGAGCCACAAGCACCTACTTGAGGCTGCTCAGTTTCATATAGTATGATATATAAATAAAAAGCTGTACAGATAATCTTAAAATGCTGAATTAGACAAAATGTGGCTACTTTGAAAGAGTTTGTTCTGTAGAGCTACAACTTAAATAAAAACCTTGTAGATCTATGTGATAACTTCAGATGTCGACTTGTTTTTTACAGGAGAAACAGTCAAGTTGCAAATGCTCTCCCTAACAGTAATGTATCCAGTGAAGACTCAACTTTCCATTAGATATTTTGTCTTCTTGTCCTTCTCCCAAAAAGCTGTCGGGTTCATGCTTGTGTTGCTACTGACACCGTCTTATATGAAACACAGGTTTTTGGGTCATGCAAAGGTCAGATAGGTCAAGAAAACCTCTTTGTCAGCTTTGCACATTTTGTAAATTTGACTGTAATGGATAATAAGAGCCTCTCAAAGTTGACCTCAAACTAGACATAGACTTGTAACTGGAATGTGTACCAACTGGAACCGCTGACATGTGTGTCTAATTAGACTCATTGGGATTTGTCCTTGAATAGAAGTGAAGTCATTAGAGACGTGAGTCATCTTTTGTCAGGGCTGGGCAGCAATGTTGAGATGTGGCCCCGGTGGTCTTTCCCGTAAGGGTTCTGTCCTTCTCACTTGGTTTGAATTAAATTGCCCACACAGTCGCAGGAAAGGGAGACAGACGTTTGCATCAGCATGAGCTGGTGTGGGAAAAGAAAAGGCAGGGGATGGAAAAGAACACAGAGGAAGAAAAGGGGTTTCATTAGAAAATGGAGGTCAAGCAGAAAGAAATTAATAAAAATACAGAGGAGGGTTGAAGGAGGGCAGGTCTGTAATCTCTCTCCTCATCAGTGCTTGTTACAGAGTCATTAACAGGGCTTTCAGATCGTGATGCCGACAACCTCCCTGAAAGATATCCACACACAGATACACACACTTACACATCTGTGTGCATAACTCCAAAGCTAGAGCACTGTAGACAATCTGGTTCCCAAAGATGTTTTATTTGACCCATGCTGCCTAAAATTACATGAAAACATTTCTTATTTGGGATGGAAGTCGCTGCCAAACAGGAGGCGTAGCAAAACAAACAATTTCCCCTCTGCCCACTGAGGAATTGTTGATTCAATTGTCTCTTATTAGACTCCATATGTGTGTATGTCTTCACACATGGAAAGAAATGTTCACACTAGGAAAAACCCTTTACTAAGTGTTGTTGCATAAGTACCCACATTTCAGTGGTGCACCTGTGCCAAAATATTCTCGTTACGTTTGGTCTCAGCCTACAAATCAATCCGAGACGAATGCCATTTCCCCCCCAAACACTTAAAAAAATGCACAAATTCTAAAATAATCCTCAAATTATTATTTTATCCTAGTTGTTATTGCTTCTGATTGACTTTTATTTACTTAAACCTGCTTATATCGGTTATTTCCATCCTTGAAAACCTGCAGAAAGGTTTGGTGCCTCAAGATAATGTTGCAGAAAAAAATATCAGAAATTAGAAACACGTGCTCAAGGAAACTGACAGCACATGAGCTGATGCTCTGAAAATGCTGACAGAGTGATGATACACAAGAGTATGACTAACTGACGTGCATAAATATCAAGAGTAAAGGGAAGGAATAAATAAATTTAAGGATGTTTATGGACCCATGTAAGCGATCAGAAATGATTAATAAGACTTGATTTTGGGATAGTTATTGTGGAAACAGTTGTGATAACGATTGTCTTCTAGCTACTGATAAATATTATATGATACGCTGGATCTTTGGGTTCCGCATCTCATGAGGATCAATTTGCATCAAGAATTACTGTCATTTAACAGTCGTTTAACTTTCTCTTTTTTTGTCTCATGTTTGTCCTATAGGTGCGTAGCCAGGGAGTGACAGAGGAGTTAAAATGCCTGAGTTTACTAAATGCTCTGGATAAGGACCAGGACATCCCAGATCAGTTAGCCCAGCTCTTCGGCGAACCCTGCATCAAACTGGCCGAAGGCATCAAAGCTTACATCTCCAAGGTAAGAGATGGAAGGAAAGGAACATTACATTTACCATGCATCAACCAAATGAATAACAATATTATTAAGCAAAACATGTTTAATAAATTGATTTAAAAGATTTAATTGCCTCTCGTATTAGGGCATTGTTTTTAGTTTTAATACAGCCTTCAACATTGTAGGTCTATTAGTTTTCCAGTGCCGATATTATCTTGAAATAATAGCTTCAAACACACTGACGTAAAACTGCCTCAGTTTGCATTCTTCCATTAATACAAATCCAAAAAGTGCACTAGCAATACTTAGCTATGTAGCATGTATTTTGGCAGAGTAGTGTTGTCTTAAATCAAAAAAGATTGAATGATAAGTGCAATGTTTGACAGTGACTCAACCTAACTACTGCGTGTATCTCACAATTGCAATTTGTCAAACACCTGAACAAACACAACACTAGTTCTTTTACATTAACCCTCTGCAACCCAATAAACTTCTAATAGAAAATTCCAGATTCCTAAGAATTCTGAAAGAAACTGGAAATCTGATTGTCACTTCAAACACCTAAATATATATATAACAAAAACTACTGGAAGCTATCACAAATAGCTTTTTCAAACCATATCTGACCATGTAAGATTTGTGCCTTTGTATGTACATCATCTGAGTTTTTCTTTAATAAAGAGTTTGATTAAATTCTAATATCAAATGAGAGTTCATTGGCTAATTGCCCAAGTCTGACAGTGTTAGATCCATTTCAAATAAAGTTCCAGTCACTGGTGTTAGCAAACACTAGCTAAGACCAGAAGCAATAAACAAACTGTTGCAGAAACCTTTCTGTTGTCAACAGCTGTTATTGTGGTACAGAGTACAGACGGTAAAGACTGCAATGAAAACTGCATGAACCCAAGTAACGCCACAATATGTTAAAAGTTCATATTTAAAAAAAATTTACTCTTGAATGCTAGTTAGCATTAACTTAGCTAACTAGCAAACATCATTGTGATGACATCACCAACATGACGCGCACACTCCAGACTTTATAAGGATCATGAACTTATTATCCAGAAACTCTTAATGTGCTTAATATAAGACTATCTTTTTGAATATGCACTCATGTTTTTAAGAAGGGCAAGTACAGAAGTAGAAGGTTTGAGATACACTTAACATGTTCTAAAATTGATTTCAAGAATGCTAATTTAGTCAACGGCTATTGTGTATGTCTGGTACTTTATATAAAAAAACCCCAACAACGAACAAAAGTTAGAATGTAGTATTGCTCATTCAAGAAAAAATATTGCAAATATACTGTTTGTAGACTGGATGGTACATTAAATACATCTTTACCAGCTAATACTCATCCAGTACTTTTCTGAATGATTATCTTTATATCCCATTAAGTTAACTGATGAAATCCAGATTTGAATTTTTAAAGCCCTCAACTAAAAGTCTTTAATGTTGCCCCTAATGATGTGAGCCCAGACAACTCCGCTGACCCTGGGTTAAAGACCAGATGGAGCCTGGTTTCAGCATGAAGGAATCTGCACAGTTACAGTGAATTTAGAAACATCTGCAGTGACTGATGCAGAACTGGAACTCTGGCTGGAAGTAATTGGGTGTATTTGTCATTTTAATAGAAAAAAAACTTCAGCTCCAAGGGAGAATCACTCAATCATCAGATAACTATATATGTGTATAGGACATGTGAGTTGAATTAAGAGGAATGGACAGTTTGTAAAGATACCATCCAAGGTTTTTGTCTGAAATATACACAATGTCCCGCAGCATCTGACAGCAGTCCACTAATATACAGTATGTGTAGTAAATGGCTAAATGGCTTTTACTGAGTGACAAGTTTCAATGGCCTAATAGCTGTATCCAGAAGAGATTATTTAAATAAACCAATCGTATGTGTGGCTCTTGTGAAAGCTTTCCGACTCTTTTTTCATGGTTTAATTGGAACTCGTTGGTTGTTCATTGTACTCTCTATTACTGAAAATGGCAGGATGTTTTGCCATTCTTTCAATTTTACTTCATGGTCTTGGCTTTGTGGTCAAGTGTACCCTTTCAACAAAAAAATAAAGAAAGAATACCATATCAGTCATATAAATGTCTTGGAAACCCAGATGTTTATGATGGATTAAGTGAAAGGGAATCATTATTAGTACTAGAAATGAGAGCGCTGTAAGTAAAACACCTAATTTTTCTAAGTTTGTGCTCAACAGTCAGAATCCCTGCATGGTTTTTTTTTTTATAGTTTGGCTTATTTTCTTTGATTCTGTGGCAAGTTTATTGATAGTATTAGTAGAGATGAACCTTTGACCCAACAGACTGTCAGGTGTTTATAGAGTCATGCAGTCATCACAACACCAGTCAATAATTGACTGCATCAGGTGTGCCACTGGAGCCTTAATCCATTTATAATCTAACACCACTGTTTTGCTAGACGTTACCATATGTAAGCTCTATCTTACGCAATTCTGTACTTGTCAACACAAGCTTGATTTGAAAAGCTTGATTTGCAAATGTGGTTTTTTTTTTGTGCATGTTTTTGCCTGCCAAATGTTTGGTTTAAACCTGTTTGGCCTTTATCATTGTAATCTGTAAAACTGCTCTCTTAAAGCACTTGGCCAGTCAAACAAATGTAGGCAGTGACTTGCAGGCAAGATTCTTCATGCAGGGTTGTTACAAATTCTTGTGTTACTGAAAAAATTGTGGATTTTGTGCAATACCTGATGGATTTTGTGCAAAGCTTGCATTCTCTGGTCATCATTTCGAAGTTGTAAAATTATGTTCTTTTGTTTGCAGATTGAAGAAAGGTGTGTTTTGTTTTTTTTCTTTTCCTGGACCCACAGCTCAGGCACTAGAGGGTTTGTTTATAGAACTGATAAAACTTTGTGGGAAGTCTTCATCTCTTTCAACCATATTCAGATTTTAAAATGTGGTCTTCCTTGACATTGACTTATTAGAAGTGATTATACAATTGTAGTTTTATATTTTAACGATGAAAAAAACTCTCAGTTTGTTTGCCTGCAAGCTTCTCCTACATGATCAAGAGTTGAGCAACCAAAGCTGGCACACAAGTTCATTTTAGGCCCCTAAGGGTTCTTATCTATATCAGATATTAAGACAGCATCATGTTTCCTAGCAACCAACAGGCTAAAGTTAACAATTTCTTTGCTTATGCACCTAAAAGACCATGGAAAAGCTTAGTATCATTTCGTTTCATGGCAGTAACTTGTCATTTATATTCACAACATATGAATTGTATTTACAAAATATTGAATTATGCTTAATATGATGTCATTGTTTTGCCTAACAACGACCTAACGACAGACTAACGTGACATGCCAGAAAATACTGCTGCACTCACATGTGCTAGTTTGTGAAAAACCTCACACGTGTCATGAATCATGCTTTTTTTTATACACTAAAGCATTAAAACTACTGAAGGGTGAAATGAAAAACATTGACCAGATGGGAAACCTTGCATACTGACAGCTATGTAGATGTTACTTTGACATACACCACCCACCTAAATATTGGTGGAGACCTAGTACACTGTGACATTTCAAGTGAACTCCCCGATGGCACTGGTCTCAAGCCACAGTACAATGCATCCTGCTGTGATCTGATGCACTGACCCTGCTACAAACTACCCAGACCCCATCCTGAGTTGTGCCAAAACAAGCCAAAGATCGAAACCCTCAAACCACAGGGCCCAAAGTAGCTGCTGTTAACCTTCTGGCATTGGATGCCCCAGGACACACCGGGATGTCATATGTTTATACCCCAATGAATATGATCTGTTTTTTTGACACAAGGGGGGGGGCTGCACAGTATTTGTCCAGTAGTTTTACCACATGTGGTTTCCTTGGGGCTCAGAGGTCCAAACTTGGCCACCGCATAAGCAATGTAGACCACCAATGTAAGACCGCAATACAATTACCCACACAACATCCCTGCTGTAGCTAAACAAATTGCAGCTGACACACATTAACGTCACACTCGTCTCAGTGCATATGTTGAATCAGCTTCAACATACCAGTGACTCCAGAGAGCCCTTCGAGAATCCCAGCACTGCTCTCACACCCACACACACACAGTCATTCATAAACCCACTAACCCACTCCACTGATATAAGTCCTCCTCTTGCAGACATTGCCAACAGTACTTTTCCCCTCAGTCTGAATGTCTGGACGCTTACAGCAGTATATCTTCAGCCCCCTTAGTTCCTGTTGCCCCCACTCAAAATCTCTTTTTGTGTCTGGCTTACATTCTACCTTTTTTTTTTTTAACCTCTTCACCCCCTCCTCTCTCTCTGCTCTACTTGTATGAAACAATCAGAGAGTGCTGCTCCATGCCCCTGTGGTCCTCAGTGGACGGGAACAGGAATGTCTAGTTTTTCTCCAATGCATAAGTGGATAACAGAGAAAATGCAGGCGGGCAATCGCTGGTGACAAACACTTAAACATGTTTACATCTCATTACTTCCCTACAAATGCTCACACATGCAGACACACGTACTATCGTGCTAATTGAAACCCCCCCCACCCCCCCGGAATTTCCCTTCGGTTCATTTGTAAGCCATTGGAAGCCTGTCCACTTTTACTGATTCCTTTGAGCTGGTTTTGAAACTCAACACGTTCTGTTCTTCTTCAGCTCGCGTCACTAGATTGACTTTTTAAAGAGTGGAACTGGTACGCGAAAAAGCCAAGATGGTGGTTAAATCAAGCTGGCAGACCAAGGAGGCGCCATCCCTTTTCTTATAAAATGTTCCAGCGAAGTGACCGGAGAACCAGAGATGAAACTCCAAAGTTTTGTTGCCATTTTTTTAACAGATGAATGGAGAAGCTGGAAAGCAGTTATACATTCTCAATTATGACAGCTTTACAACAGCGAGAATGTCATATAACAATCAGACTGTGTCCTTGAGACAAACTAAAGCTAATCAGTAGCTTTCACAGGAATCACAACACAGTTGACTCAGAAAAACAAGCGTCCACCCCATCATGCCAGACAGTTTA